ATGTTCGAAAGCCATTGCCATCACAAGGCCCCTTTGTTCATGTCACGCTTTCTTTGGCAAGGGCAGTGCATGCATTTCCTTAGCCTCCTACCCCCACACCACCACCCTGGCATCTCTTTGAAGCTGCATCCTACACTTATGCTCATTACTAGAAGGCAAACGGGAGTGTGCACTAGTTTAAGTCAGGATTTATGGCCCACGTTAGGACCCAAAGGGGCCTGGAGAAGTTACTGTTATGAATCACAAAGGGAATAGTCTGAATTCAGCACTATCTGGAAAAAATGTGGCATCTATCATGTGCAGTATGGTAGGAGCTGAATCTTCAGCAGGCTTATGCTGCACTTTCCCCAGAGATTTTGGTTAAATGAGATATGAGGGGTTATCCAAACTAAATCTTGCAGGCATCAAGTCAGCATCGATCTCCTGAGGTACTCACTCAGATTGAATGATCACATTGTTCTTCCCAGTTTTCATCACTTACCCACCTCATCCGACCAAAACCACAGACAAAGCAGCTCTACTCTGCTTTCACGCTGTTGTGAATGGGCTATAAAACTGGGGACTATTGTGCTTTATTTCATCTTTCTCATGACTGTCCATGACTGGCAACACTACCTTTAAATCAGCAGTTGTTTAATATCTGCTGCTAACAGGAGGTCAGTAGAGGAATGCAATGCCCCTCCCCCTTCTCATAGAGCAGCAAAGCTCTAATGTGAACCACAAGCACGCTCTTTTTAATAGGGTGTAATGTGGGGTGCCCTAGTAAACCACCATCCAGATGATGGAAGAAGATAACATGAAGCCTGGAGAGCCCATCCTCGTGGCTCTGACTTGAAGTATTCCGGTTCTTGGTACCTTGCTAACTCTGAGAGACGAGGCAGTCCAAGTAACTTCAAAACAGTGCTGATTTATTCAATGAACACAGGTCAAAATTAACATTACACGCTCAGGTATCTTGCACCTCCAACATGCACACAGGCAGCTGAAAGATGAAAGACCCCGAACCCAACAGGCCTATACATTATATCTCTTTGGGCTAACCCCATTCTACACAGGGACGTCAAACCGTGACGTCTCCCGGTGCCAGCTTTGCAGCTGGCCAGAGCAGTAGTCAAAACATGAAGAAAATCAATGTGTGATTGTTCGTTGATTATGTGGTGTGTAGCTAAAACATTCTGACATGACGTCTAGTGACATGTCATGACATTAAGCATAGAAGATATTATGATTACGATTATGATTTAACACGTCATACAGTAATCAACTTTCTATCTAGTTATCCTTGAACATAAATAACCTGGAGTAACTCCTGAAAATGAGTAAGCATTTAACAGCCTGAGCTAGACATCCTGTCTACTCTAAACATTCCTAATACAACAAGTACCTAACCAATATCTATCTGACTAAAATTACCTAACAGACTCAAGTTGGTTTTAGCACAGAACACACTGGTGTGTTTGCATGTGCAGTTATTCTTGCCTAAGTCTCCTGGTTGGGAATATGAGCGTGCATGTTTACAATTAGAGAGGATAAAGATGTGAACATCAACAGTTTATACTGAATGCACTCACTTATGAACACACACCAGGGTCAGACATTACAACATTTGCTTGTCTATGTGTGCAAAAGGTACTATATAGTGTAACAGGCCCTTGAAAGGATGCTTTCTACTTCCCTAATTTTGAGGCTGCCGGTGTATTCAGCACCATATGGTCATTTTCAGGACAGGAAAGGCTATTCAGAGGTGCCACATTTCAAACTGCACAGTGGGAGTGTGTCGACACCGTTTGTCTCCATAGCGTTGGATAGGTTAAAATAAACCTTCCATCAATCCTCCATTAATGTTAGGAAAGCATGTTTGATGACTTAAAAAACAGCTCCTTTCAAAAACGCCACCCAAAGTACATGAATCTGGAAACCGATCTTGGTGTAAATGCTGACGTATGACATACAATCTGGATAAAAGCTGCTTGCTCAAGTTTCCTGTGATAGCCCAGTAGAGGAGATTTAAACATTGTTCTATTGTTGTGGTGTTTCAGTGGTTTGTAAAAACACAAATAGTATTTAACGATCCATCCGTCTTCGTGTTTCTTAGTTCACACTTCTCTATACTGCTCTGCTCTCCGTTTTATCCCAAAAATGCCTGGGCTTGCCGTTTTTATGACGAATGTCCTCACAGCTCCACAGAGGCTAAAGGCTTTTGCAGCCATCTTTTTTTGCTTCAAAACCTTGCCCACTGTGAATCATCCCCTTGTGATGTTTGCTTTCCTGCCACACACACACACACACACACACTTTTAACAAAAGAGACAGTCTACAGCTGGGTTTGTGCTTGAATGCTTATGCCAGATCTGGTGGGACAGCCTTAATGTTCCCCTTCTGGCAGATGTGGCCACTCCCGCTGAAATGCCGAGGCGGG